GGACCTTTCCCCCTAGGTTAAATTTAATTCCTTTAAAAAATGGGAAAAATTTTTAAAAAAGGGGAAGAAGGAACATAAAATTCCCAAGTGATAAAGAACTGCAAAAAAAATAATGTTTTTTAATTTTAAAAAATAAAAGGAAAAACGCCTTATTAAAAATTCCTTTTTTCCGTATATAAATTTTCCCAAACAACCCAACCCCTTTTACTGGCTTTGTTTTTAGGTATACCCCCTTAAAATTTTTTTTCAAGGGGTTACTTAAAAACCCCCCTAAAGGCTTTTTTCTAGGTTTTCCAGGTTTTTTTTTAAAAAAAAGGGCCCCAGAGCCCCCTAGTTATTGATATTTTTACTGACATTTTAAAAAAAGCCAAAGAAGCTCGAAAAGAGGCTCCACCCTTTTTTTCCTTCAATGTTTAAAACTAGAGCAATGTCAGAGCGCCTCAAAAACCCTTTTTCAACTGAAGTCCCAATGAAGGCGAAGATTTAGGTCTCGATTTATTGTTTTAAAATCGATCCTTACAACCCCGGGTCTTCAAATCTGAAATATTCTATGATCGGGCCCTTTTTTTAAAAATTTCGATATTAAAATGCTTTCAAAGAAAATTTAATAAGGGATCAGTTCCCCTTGGGTCCCTCCCCAGGAAAAATTTCGGGGAGATAGTTTTTTAAGAAGACGGGCGCCCCAAGGGCCCGGACAATTTTTTACTATTTTTGCTGATGGTTAAATTTAAAAGAAAGGAAAAGTCTCTTTTTTCTTCCCACGTCATTGGCTCCAGCAAAAAATCTATAGTGGGTTCCTAGCAACCCTTTTGAGAAAATTTGGGCCCTTAGTTTCGCCCACCATTTGTCCCCTTTGGGGGGACAATTTTTGGGGGTAAAAAAAACGCTGGGAAAAATGGCCCAAACATTTTCCCTTGGGCCCCGAATGAAGGGGCTGTGGAAAGCTACTAAAAGGTTTCAAGTCTGGGAAGTGACCGGGAAACCTTCGCACACAAACCCCCACCCTTTTCCCCCCATTCCGAAAACCCCCTCAGTGGTGGGGCCCTTCTCACGCCTGATAATAGATTGTGTTGGTCCCTTTCCAAAAACCTAAACAAGGGAATCAATATCTGTTTACCATTAGGGATGTCGTTAACTCGATATCCAGAGGCTATCCCTTTGAGAAAAATTAATTCTCGCATCATTGTTCGAGCTTTGCAAAAAAATTTTCTCACAGGTGGGGATTCCCCGAATAATTCAATCAGATTAAGGTTCAAATTTTACCTCTAAGATGTTTCGCGATGCCTTATCTCGCCTCGGAATTAAGTCCATATTTTCTGTTGCTTATCACCCTCAGTCGCAAGGAGCCCTCGAACGATTTCATCAAACATTAAAATCAATGATGAGAGCGTACTGCGAGCAGTTTTCCAGAGATTGGGACGAAGGAATACCATTCCTCTTGTTCGCCTTAAGGGAAAGCGAACAAGAAAGCACTGGGTTTAGTCCATTTGAATTAATTTACGGACACCAAGTACGCGGCCCCCTCGCCGTACTAAAAGATTCATGGACCGGAAAATCAGAACCCTCGTTTAAAACAACTCCAACTCTAATGCAAAAGCCTTTGTCACAACTGAGGGAATTAGCCTCAAAAAACTTAGCTAAGGCCCAATCCAAGATGAAGCATTGTTATGACAAACACACACGCTCTCGTTTCTTCAGACCAGGTGACAGTGTGATGGCACAGAAATTCTTACCTGGACACGCTCTGCAGCCTAGATACGAAGGTCCTTTGGAAGTGATTGAGCGGCTCAATGAGGTAAATTATGTACTACTAACTCCAGGAAAGAGAAAAGCAAAACGTACTTATGTAAACCAACTCTAGGCTTACCACCCTATATTGTACCAGTTTCGACAGTTCTTCCTTTAGCTGAAACTGAAAATGTAAGTCTGCCCAGCATCTCTAAAGCGATAGAAGTACGTTTAAAAAATTCAGAGACATTGCAATCTCTTGATACCTTTCTTATGGACCTTGATTTGAAGAAAGCCAAAGATATCAAAGACTTGATATTACGTTATGAGGTCTTATTCGATGACGTCCCTAGGTGTTGTACATTGGGAATTCACGACATAGATGTACAAGGAGCAAAGCCTTGCAGTCACCTTATAGGGCAAGTCCACTCAAACAGGAAACATTAAACAAAGAAGTAGAATTTTTGTTGTCCCATGGACTCATAGAACGGAGTAAAAGTCCGTGGGCCTCGCCCTGTATATTAGTTCCCAAGCCTGATGAAACTTCTAGAATGTGCACTGATTATCGTAAGGTTAATGCTCTCACAGTAACAGATGGTTTCCCACTACCCCGTATTGATGATCTAATAGACAGAGTATCAGGAGCCGCCTATGTCACCCGCCTGGATATATTAAGGGGCTATTACCAAGTGCCTCTTACACAGCAAGCCCAAGAAATATCCGCATTTACTATACAAGGAGGATTATTCAATTATCGTGTTATGCCCTTCGGGTTGTGTAACGCGGCCTCTACCTTTCAGCGCCTGATGAACCTGCTGACCAATGATTTAGAAGGAGTGGATGCATATCTAGATGATCTTGCTATATATAGCAATGAGTGGGAGCAACATTTAATTCGCCTGGAAACCTTATTTAAGAAGTTAGAAAAGTACAACTTCACCATAAATTTAGCCAAGTGTCAGTTTGGACAAGCCAAGATTAAGTACCTCGGTTTTTGTATAGGTCAGGGCGAGGTACGTCCTGTTGATGTAAAAGTTAGGGCCATTGCCGAGTTTCCTATCCTCAAGATAGAAAGTCTATACAGAGGTTCCTTGAATGACTGGTTATTATCGACGTTTCTGTCCTAATTTTTCTCAGGTTGCATCTCCTCTTACTGAGTTAACCAGTAGTAAGATGAAGTTTTGCTGGACGAAAGATTGTGAGATAGCTTTTAATGGGTTGAAGCGGTTGCTTTCTTCATCACCCGTATTGAAAAGTCCTGACTTGAATCAACCCTTCTATTTACACATCGATGCCAGCGGTTATGCCGTGGGGGCGGTGTTACTTCAGAAATCCCCCTCTACTGATATTTTGCATCCTATATCTTATTTTTCTTCAAAGTTGAAACGTCACCAAAAGAATTACGCCACTGTAGAGAAAGAAGCTCTTGCCCTAGTAATATCTTTGGAACATTTTGACATTTATCTGGGAACCTCCCCCCATAAAATTATGGTATTTTCTGATCACATCCCTTTAATTTATATTAATTCTATGAAATCAAAGAACACCCGGATCCTCAGGTGGGCTCTGAGGATCCAACCTTATCTGATTAGTATTCAACACTTAAGTGGATCCCTTAACATAATTGCTGATGCCCTTTCTCGCCCCTAAAAAAAAATGTATACCTTAAAATGTAAAGTAAAGTAATGAGTACTCTCAGAGCCTAATTTATATATATATATATATTATATATTTTTGTTAATAATTTTCTTTTATATTGACAGAATGACTATGAAAGCCGTTTCGTTGATGGGACGAAGTATTAAGTACACATGGATGACCCTGACAGTCATGTCCGAGACTCCTATTCTCGAACTGTGATGGAAGCCACTCCAGATAGTTCTTCTGGCCATTGTTCAAAAAGCTCATCCTCTGGCAAATAACCATGCTGTTCGAGTTCTTGCTTCTCCATTCTTCCGTCGTACTACTTGCCTTATTTACCAAGAGGACGCTTACTATAAAGGAGATATTACCAAGGGCGCTTGCAAACTCCCTACTGCGACCTATTGTCGTGCGGGGGGGGGGGGGGAAGTGTTATATCTTTGAAATTGGTCATCCTCTGTTATTTAAATATTGTAAGAGCATGTGTTCATCATTTAATATTATAGCGCGAAAGTCCCCATTTATAGCTAAAATAGAGACTTTAGGCGTTATATTATTATCTGTTAATATATGAAAAATACCATGGTATTATCGCTATTATCGTAATTATCACTATTATTTTACTATTACCGTTAGGTAGGATTTCTTGTGTATATAGAGTTTAAGTCTCGGAACCATCCGGTGAATTGTTCAATTGTTTATGTCCGGCTGGCTGACGTGGCTCAGCTGATCCAACCTGACGACACGTCAACAGACTGGCAAGTAGTCAGTCTGCTCCCTCCTCTAGCCCTGACAACTGATCGTATATTGGCTCTTACGGTGTACAGTTTGAATGGTTTTGAGAATTGGACTCTAGAGCTGACTCACTTTGTTCCTCATTACTTTGAAAGACTCTTTTGATATTTATATTCTTGGTCAGTTTAGTCATCCATAGATACTTTACGGCCAGATTCAAAGGTCTTGTTAAATCTTGTACCTTTTGTATTTTGAGTCTACAATCTTGTTAAGAAAGAGACATAAATATTAATGAGGACTTAGATACAGGAAGAATAATTAAACTTCCTTATTAATATGACATTTCCATGATTTTGAACTAAATGTATATGGTAAATTTTATTGTACAAAGTATTAAGTTAAATTAACTACAAAGAGAAGATAAAGTATTGTATTTAAATACTTTAATAAATTTGAATATTATTCTATGGAGTTTCCCAGTTGAAATTATTTCCCCTAGACTAAAATACCTTTAAATAACTCTGATCCAAAAATCTTATTGCATAAGAAATAAATGGTAACAGGCCACATTCTGAAGTTCTTTAAAAAATTTCTTATTCGCAACATTGGTCACCAGAGTACACTAGTCCAGAGGTATTGGTGGTGTGGTCACCAGAGTACACTAGTCCAGAAGTGTTGGTGGTGTGGTCACCAGAATACACTAGTCCATAGGTGGTGGTGGTGTGGTCACCAGAGTAAACTAGTCCAGAGGTGGTGGTTGTGTGGTCACCAGAGTACACTAGTCCAGAGGTGGTAGTTGTGTGGTCACCTGAGTACACTACTCCAGAGGTGGTGGTTGTGTGGTCACCAGAGTACACTAGTCCAGAGGTGGTGGTTGTGTGGTCGCCAGATTACACTAGTCCAGAGGTTGTGGTTGTGTGGTCACCAGAGTACACTAGTCCAGAGGTGGTGGTTGTGTGGTCGCCAGAGTACACTAGTCCAGAGGTGGTGGTTGTGTGGTCACCAGAGTACATTGGTCCAGAGATGGTGGTTGTGTGGTCACCAAAGTACACTAGTCCAGAGGTGGAGGTTGTGTGGTCACCAGAGTACACTAGTCCAGAGGTGGTGGTTGTGTGGTTACCAGAGTACACTAGCCCTGAAGTGTAGGTGGTGTGGTCACCAGAGTGCACTAGTCCAGAAGTGTTGGTGGTGTGGTCACCAGAGTGCACTAGTCCAGAGGTGGTGGTTGTGTGGTCACAATAGTACACTAGTCCAGAGGTGGTGGTTGTGTGGTTACCAGAGTACACTAGTCCAGAAGTGTTGGTGGTGTGGTCACCAGAGTGCACTAGTCCAGAAGTGTTGATGGTGTGGTCACCAGAGTGCACTAGTCCAGAGGTGGTGGTTGTGTGATCACCAGAGTGCACTAGTCCAGAGGTGGTGGTGGTGTGGTCACCAGAGTGCACTAGTCCAGAGGTGGTGGTGGTGTGGTCACCAGAGTGCACTAGTCCAGAGGTGGTGGTGGTGTGGTCACCAGAGTGCACTAGTCCAGAGGTGGTTGGGGTGTGGTCACCAGAGTGCACTAGTCCAGGAGAAGTGTGGTGTGGTCACCAGGGGTGCACTAGCCCAGAGGTGGTGGTGGTGTGGTCACCAGAGTACACTAGTCCAGAAGTGTTGGTGGTGTGGTCACCAGAGTACACTAGTCCAGAGGTGTTGGTGGTGTGGTCGCCAGAGTACACTAGTCCAGAAGTGTTGGTGGTGTGGTCACCAGAATTCACTAGTCCAGAGGTGGTGGTGGTGTGGTCACCAGGGTACACTAGTCGAGAGGTGGTGGTTGTGTGGTCACCAGAGTACACTAGTCCAGAGGTGGTAGCTGTGTGGTCACCTGAGTACACTAGTCCAGAGGTGGTGGTTGTGTGGTCACAGAGTAACTAGTCAGAGGGTGGTTGGGGGTCACCAGAGTGCACTGCCAGGGGGGGTGGTGGTGTGGTCACCAGAGTGCACTAGTCCAGAAGTGTGGTTTGGTCACCAGAGTGCACTAGTCCAGAGGTGGTGGTGGTGTGGTCACCAGAGTGCACTAGTCCAGAAGTGTGGTTTGGTCACCAGAGTGCACTAGTCAGAGTGGAGCTGTTGGTCACTGAGTACACTAGTCCAGAGGTGGTGGTTGTGTGGTCACCAGAGTACACTAGTCCAGAGGTGGTGGTTGTGTGGTCACCAGAGTAGACTAGTCCAGAAGTGGTGGTTGTGTGGTTACCAGAGTATACTAGTCCAGAGGTGGTGGTTGTGTGGTCACCAGAGTACACTAGTCCATAGGTGTTGGTTGTGTGGTCACCAGAGTACACTAGTCCAGAGGTGGTGGTGGTGTGGTCACCAGAGTTCACTAGTCCATAGGTGGTGGTGGTGTGGTCACCAGAGTACACTAGTTCAGAGGTGGTGGAGGTGTGGTCACCAGAGTACACTAGTCCAGAAGTGGTGGTGGTGTGGTCACCAGAGTGCACTAGTCCAGAAGTGGTGGTTGTGTGGTCACCAGAGTGCACTAGTCCAGAAGTGGTGGTTGTGTGGTCACCAGAGTGCACTAGTCCGGAAGTGGTGGTGGTGTGGTCACCAGAGTGCACTAGTTAAGAAGTGTTGGTGGTGTGGTCACCAGAGTGCACTAGTCCAGAAGTGATATTGGTGTGATCAGAGTGCACTGGTCCTGAAAATGTGGTGGTGCGATCACTAGAGTGCACTAGTCCAGAAGTAGTATGCCTACAAAGTGTTTCGGAGGTCAACGTCACAGAGGCCTAGGCCTCGCAGTGGATGAGAGCCTGAATAATCAGGCTGTTACTGCTGGCTTCACGCAAACCGACGTACGAACTAATGCCCCCCTGGTCAGGAACTGACACTAGGTGCTCGTCCAGCTTCCTCTTGAAGACCGCCAGGGGTCTATTAGTAATCCCTCTTATGTATGCTGGGTGGCAACTGAACAATTTTGGGCCCCTGACACTTACTGTGTTGTGTCTTAATATAGTAAAGGCGCCCCTGCTTTTCATTTGGGGAATGTTGCCCAGCCTGCCAAGTCTTTTGCTTTCTAGGGAATGATTTCGGTGTGCAGATTTGGGACTAATTGCTCTAGGATTTTTCAATGTATGTTATGATATATCTTTCTCGCCTGCGTTCCAAGGAATACAGGCTAAAACACTTCAACTATTCCAAGTAACTTATGTGCTTTATTGTGCAGTAAGTGTTTCTATATATTCACCAGTTCTGCAATTTCGCCTGCCTTGAAAGAGGCCTCCAGTGTACACTGTACACCAAAGGCCCCTGGCTAAGCATGCCTAGTTGTGAAGGTTTTCATTATATTTTTTATCATTATCTTAGCAAATGTGGTAGAGACATTGTTGTGATCTTTGAAAGTGAGATTGTCAGGTGGTGGTGTTTTCCATACCCCGGAGCACCAGGATTGTGATAAATTATTCATCAAATCCGGCCACACGCGGCGCACTTTCAGGCCACAGATATTTATAGAGTCTGGCGCTCAAGGGTATGGAAAACCCCGCTTAGCTTCGGCTAGTAGCCCATACTTATCTGGGATCTGGCTGTGGCTGTATCGCGTACTTTGATGCACTGTAAGTTCAAATTCTGCCGTGAACTTAGAGATTACACACACACACGCACACACACACACAAAAGCGAAGAGGCTTCTGAGTGAGCTAGATACCTCAAAAGAAATGGGGCTGGATAACATCTCCCCATGGGTCCTGAGAGAGGGAGCAGAGGCACTATGTGTACCCCTAACAACAATATTCAAAACATCTATTGAAACAGGGAGATTGCCTGAAGCATGGAAGACAGCAAATGTATTCATAGTTGTTAAAAAAGGAGACAGACATGAAGCACTAAACTACAGACCAGTGTCACTGACATGTATAGTATGCAAAGTCATGGAGAAGATTATCAGGAGAAGAGTGGTGGAACACCTAGAAAGGAAGGATCTCATGAACAGCAGCCAACATGGTTTTAGGGACGGGAAATCCTGTTTCACAAACCTACTCGAGTTCTATGACAGAGTGACAGCAGTAAGACAAGAGAGAGAGGGGTGGGTAGGTTGCATTTTCTTGGACTGTAAGAAGGCGTTTGACACAGTTCCACACAAAAGATTAGTGCAAAAACTGGAGGACCAAGCAGGGATGACAGGGAAGGCACTACAATGGATCAGGGAATACTTGTCAGGAAGACAGCAGCGAGCCATGGTACGTGGCGAGGTGTCAAAGTGGGCACCTGTGACAAGTGGGGTCCCACAGGGGTCAGTCCTAGGACCAGTGCTGTTTCTGGTATTTGTGAACGACATGATGGAAGGAATAGTCTTCGAAGTGTCACTGTTTGCAGATCATGTGAAGTTGATGAGAAGAATTCATTCGGACGAAGACCAGGCAGAACTACAAAGGGATCTGGACAGACTGAAGACCTGGTCGAGCAATCGGTTCCTGGAGTTCAACCCCACCAAGTGCAAAGTCTTGAAGACTGGGGAAGGGCAAAGAAGACCGCAGACGGAGTACAGTCTAGGGGGCCAGAGACTACAAACCTCACTCAAGAAAAAAGATCTTGGGGTGAGTATAACACCAGGCACATCGCCTGAAGTGCACATCAACCAAATAACTGCTGCAGCATATGGGCGCCTAGCAAACCTCAGAACAGCATTCCGATATCTTAATAAGGAATCATTCAGGACCCTGTACACCGTGTACATTAGGCCCATATTGGAGTATGCGGCACCAGTTTGGAACCCATACCTAGTCAAGCACGTAAAGAAACTAGAGGAAGTGCAAAAGTTTGCAACAAGACTAGTCCCAGAGCTAAGGGGTATGTCCTACGAGGAGAGGTTAAGGGAAATCGACCTGACGACACTGGAGGACAGGAGAGATAGGGGAGACCTGATAACGACACAAAAAATATTGAGAGGAATTGACACGGTGGACAAAGACAGGATGTTCATGAGATGGGACACAGCAACAAGGGGACAGACACAGTTAGGAAGTTGAAAACACAGATGAACCACAGGGATGTTAGGAAGTATTTCTACAGCCACAGAGTAGTCAGGAAGTGGAATAGTTTGGGAAGCGATGTAGTGGAGGCAGGATCCATACGTAGCTTTAAGCAGAGGTATGATAAAGCTCACGGTTCAGGGAGTGTGACCTAGTAGCGACCAGTGAAGAGGCGGGGCCAGCAGCTATGACCAGACCCCTGCAACCACAACTAGGTGAGTGCAACTGGGTGGGTACACACACACACACACACACACAAACACACACACACACACACACACACACACACACACACACACACACACACGCGCGCGCGCGCATACACACACACACATACACACAAATATATATAAATATATATATATATATATATATATAATATATATATATATTATATATATATATATATATATATATATAATATATATATATATATATATATATATACATATTTGTGTGTATGTGTGTGTGTGTCCATATATATATATATATCATCAGACAATATCTTGGAAGCAATTAAAGCAATCAGGTACCAGGACACTCACACATATTCCCTAAGCAGCCCGTCCACACGCAGCTGGGAAACTTACAGTCCTCCTGAAAAAAGTAAACGATGGTTCCACATCTTAAATTCCCCACCAACCATAAGGCAGGGCACAACTTGCATTTTTTGAATGTCTGCTTAGTGTCCCGGGAAAAAAGGGAAAGGGGCTACCCTCAATGAAATTAAATCCAAAGAGTTTTTTCCTAGAGCTGTAACCTCATTGCCTTCACGCCCAACACAAAAAAGGGGGGAGACAAAACCCCCACTCACTCCACGACAGTGAAAAAGTCAGAGTCCCGGGGGCAGAAAATCGAAAGAGCAACAAGTGGAGCAATCAGATTAACAAGTAAAAATACAGTTGCTCCCCCGGGACTGACACGGTAGAAACCTGAAGGAAAGCACCCACAGGGAAAAAACCGGGGCACCACAGTTCCAACACCTCCTCCCCACGTGGAACCATGATCGTGGAAGACTAACATTAAAGAAGCAAAAATTCGTTCCCACTGTCTCTTTAGGGTTACACTGGGGAAAAAGGCCACGCATTTAAAGGAAATATTAATCCAGTTAAGGGGAAATTGCGAGACACGCTTTCAGAGTCACAAGGTTCGTCAACAAACCTTGGGTGGTTATTTTCCTGATAAAATTAGACCTTTTTTTTTTTGGTGCAACACTTTATGCCTTAAAAAAAAGGGTGGGGGATTCGGCCCAAATTTGCGAGGCAACACGTTACAAACCCCCTCGTATCCAAAGGCTGTTGAATATTTGGCCACAGGCCCCGATGTTTAAAAACCCAAACCCCTTGGCTTTGGGGTCTCCTGGAAGTGAACAGGGTCCATGCAACAAGGCGTAATCAACAACCTTCCTGGGGCAATGCAGTGTAAAATTAGGTTTCAAAAATAGTCAAACTTCTGAAATGAGACGGGGTATTAGCAGCAGTACAAGAACATTTTCCGGTCCTTCCCTTTTTTTCTGCTGGGTATACAAGGATAATACTTCTCTTTTGGGACTGAAATC